AGTGCACAACATGATGGAGGGCGTCATATGGGCTTCCTCACAGGATGGGGTCTGTGTGTGCTCACATTTTATCAGTGTAAATATCCCGAGTCCATAGGAGGACACATGTTGTTTATTCAGTATCTCAGTCCCAGAAAGGTGATTTAATCCTCGCGGGGTATGATAGTGAACTTGTTTCAAATTCAACTGCTTTGATTCAGCCAGTACCAAGTTAGAAGTAAGGACATCAGAAACATTTTGGATGGTATTTATGCTTCTGAAATAAGAAACAGGTTGATGAATAATCAAAATATAGAAACAGGATCCTGGCTTGTGAGACAGATGTGGGGAAAAAGGCTTTTAATGATGACTTTTAATAATAATAATAATAATAAAAAAGGAAACACACACACACACACACACACACACACACACACACACACACACACACAAACTCCATTGATAAGTGTTATCCGTGAATGGCCTGAAGAGGGCATCACTGTAACACTTTTATGCAGTGCTTCATATCCTAAGTGATGTAAATCTTGAGCCTCAATGTCTAATCTTGGATTATTTTATTTGTCTTAGTTTTTAAATTTTGTTTCTGGAGTGTGTGTGTGCGTGCGTGTGTGTGCGCGCCTTTGCACACATGCCACAGTACAGTGGAGGTCACAGGACAAGCTTGAAGTTAGCTCTCTAATTCACCTTTATGTGTGTGTAAGGGATTGAATACAGGTCTTCAGGCTTGCATGGTATGCACCTTTCCCTGCTGAACCCCTGGATATATTTTATTTTTTCCCTTTTATTGAAAATAGATTTTTGGGGGTCCTGGAGAGATGCCTCAGCAATTAAGAGCCCAGGCTGCTCTTCCAGAGGACCCGTGTTCAGCTCCCAGCACCCACATGGCAACTCCATGTATGGGATCCAACACCCTCACACAGACATGAGTGCTGTCAAAATACCAATGGACATAAAATAAAAATTAAATAAAAAATAACCTGACATTGCTTGTCAGGCAGTGGTGGTGCATGTCTTTAATCCCAGCACTCGGGAGGCAGAGGTAGCCAGATCTGTGAGTTCATCTGGTTTACAAACTGAGTTACAGGATGGCCAGGGCTATGCAGATAAACCCTGTCTCAAAAAAACAAAAACAAAAAACAAAAAAAGAAAAAGGAAAAAAGATTTTTCCCTCAGGTAATAAATCCTGATTATGTTTCCCTCCATCTTCTCCTCCAGTTCCTTTCACCTCTCTCCTGTCTAGAGCCACTACTTTTCCATCTCTCACTAGAAAACAAACAGGCTTCTCAGGGAATGTAATATAATATGATGTATGACATGATGAAAAAAACGAAAGAATGGTATGAGTTTGCTTCCTTCTGGCTAACATTTCTGTTAAAAATGCCAGGGAGAAGGGAGTCTGGAAACCAAACTTAACACCCACACAAAGAGAGAGAGAGATTAGTTATTATTTATTTATTTATTTGTGTGTGCATGCATACTTGTGTGAGATTACATGCACATGTGTATGCAGGAGGCCAGAAGAGGGTGTGGGTTTCCTGGAACATGAGTCATGAGTGCTCATGCACTACTATGTGGGTGCTGCAAACCAAACCTTGATCTTCTGCTAGAGCAACTGCTGGGCTTTGACTGCTGGGTCATCTCTATAACTTCTAGCTATTTTCTTTTCAATTACTATTAATTTTTTAGGTTAGCATACACAGTGATATGTTTCTTTATGTTGTTTATATTTGCCACTTTTTTATTTTTTAATTTAATTTTGTTTATGTATTTTTTTGAGAAAGGGTCTTTCTATATAACCCTGACTGTCTTAGAACTCTATGTAGATCAGGCTATCCTTGACAGAGATTGACCTACCTTTGCCTCTTGAATGCTGGAATTAAAGATGTGTGCCACTACACTGACAAGATTTGTTTTATTTATTTACTTGTTTGTTTGTTTTTTGAGACAGGGTTTCTCTGTGTAACTGCCCTGGCTGTCCTGGAATGTGCTCTGTAGACCAGTCTGGCCTTGAACTCATAGAGATCTGCCTGCTTCAGCCTTCTGAGTGCTGGGATTAAAGGCGTGTACCACCGCTGCCTGTTTTTGTTGCTATTTTTTTTTAGATTTTATTTTTAGTTACATGTATAAGGTGTGTGTGTGTGTGTGTGTGTGTGTGTGTGTGTATGTGTGTGTGTGTGTGTGCGCGTGCGCGCGCGCCATGCTTGTGAAGACCAGAAGATGGAAATGTATTCATGGGGCTGATGTTACAGTGAATTGTGCACCGCCTGGTATGGGTCCTTCCTTTTTATGTAACTCAGGTCCTCTGCAAAAGTATCGAGCTCCCTGAACAGTTGGTGCCATCTCTCTAGCCCTCATATTTTGTTCTAATTTGTTTCTGTTCCTCTGCCTTTTTAGTCTCCCACGTCTTATTCCCTTTTCTTGCCCCAAGTACCCCTTCTGCTTCTATGACAACTGTATCCCATTGCAACACCCTCATTAAAATTACTTCTTCCTCTCTCATTGTATCCTTCCTAGTCTTATCTCATTCTC